CTCTCTCTCTCTCTCTCTCTCTCTCTCTCTCTCTCAGTAAGCTTCCCTTCTTGACCCTCTCAGCCTCTCTACAAGGCATGTTTAGCTGTTTTAGTTGGCATCTCTCGCTCCCAATCTCTGGGTGTGGGGCTCTGTGCTCACCCCTCCCCCTTGCTTCCCTCCCCCCTCTAGCACACAGCAGGGTGGCGGCTGAGCTCACTTACCCCATGGCGGGCCGGCTGGGAGCACGCACATCCTTGCACACCAGCCGCACGTAGCTGTACTTGAGCACGTCGATGAGCGTGTACAGTGGGGGCAGCCTGGCCCAGTGGCAGCGGGTCAGGTGCATGGAGCTCTGGATGAAGAAGAGCGCCAGCCGCTGCTGGCACCAGGCGTCGAAGAAGCGGCTGAACTCAGCCCAGGAGAAGAAGGCCCGTTCCAGCAGCTCCTGCTCCTCCTGCTCCTCCTGCCCCACCACCATGCCCCGCGGGCGCTCCATCCTGGGGCACCTAAGTCAAAGGTGGGAGGACATGTGCCTAAGGCCGCAGACCCACCCCCCACCGGAGGCATCCTACTCCCTCCACGTTAGACCTGCCTCTTGCGTGCTGGTGCCCGGGTGGGATACAACCCCATTCATCTCTAGAAATAAACCTCCACCCCATCCTTGGCCTCCTCCCACCTCCTGCACTATCCACCGACGGCTGGAGCCTGTCATCCTGGCCCCTCGTGCCAGCTCTGGTTCCCTCCTGCGCAGACGGGACCCCAGGTGCAGTCGGGGTCTCTCGCCCAGAATAGGACTCTTAAGCTCGGTTGTGGACACTTCCTCAAGCAGGTTCCCAACTTCCAGCTAAGACCTCTCCCCCCGCAGATGTGCTCCTACATGTGGCAGTGCCCCCTATCGCCCCCAGTCGCATGGAACTCTCCCCTCCCGGGTCTCCGCGTGGCTGTACAGCTGTGCCACACCCCCGCAAAGGGTCCCACCTCCAGATGTGCTCCCACATCCCGCCTTGGACCCCGCCCCCCACGTCATATTCTCATACGCCTGCAGCTGCTGGCCCTTCCCCAGGTGCAGCCCCTATGGTCGCCTCGCCCAGCGGTGGCCCCTGTTGCCTAGAAACACTTGCACGTCCAGATGTCCTCTCCACAGACAGCAAGTCCTCACTCCTCACGGGCGTGTGCCCCACTCCCCTGTGGCCAATCTCTGAAGTGTCACTAGTATTCGTCTGTGTCCCCTTCCTGCCCAGTCGCGCTTCTCCCCACCCCCACCCC